CGTGGGTGCTCCAGCGCGCCGGAGGCCCGCACAGCCCCGCCGGGCTATGCCCTGGGCCCGGCACTCGTGGCCTAGCCCAGCCCTCTCCCCTGTCCCACGCTGCTGTAGCTGCTTCCGTGCTGTGCTTGTTTTACGCGCACTTAAAGCAGTGGCGTAGTTGTTATTGCTGTAACGAGGTGAGATGTGAAAGGTGCCAAAGGGAGGGCCCCTCACCTTTCAGAGGGAGCAAGCAAGAGTTGGCTCTTGCACTGTTGGCTGTGGATTTTGAGTGTCTCAAAGTAGTACTTTTCCAGCTCTGGGGGCTGTTTGTTGACTTTCTATGTCTGCAACAATGGCTTTTAGGCTTTCCTTAAAACGTGTTGCTAATAAGATGCCATGTCAAGAGGGCTGAATTTGCTTTCCTGTGTCTCTGCAGTGGCATAAAACAAATACTGGGTGGGGTGGGATGGGAGTGGGAGGAGTCAGGGGCATTTGGGGCTAATATGGCTGAAATCTTGACACTTAGCAGAATCTTCTCTATCCCTGAGTAAATGTGCTTGTCCTCTAGTGCCTCTGGAGACATGTAGACTCTGGAATTTAGTCAAAATCTTAAAGCTGCCATTGGCTGCTTCTTTGGAACTGGATCCTATGTTGTGCCTGCTGCATTCAAATAGAAAAAAAATGTGCAGATTCAGAGATAACTGCTGGATAAATTGCATGTATGTGTTATGATATTAAATCTTTATGAGGATGCTTTCAAATCCAGCAACTTTCTTACAAACTTTTGTACACACACTGTGGATGTGCTTACACGCACTTCTCTATTACACTGTCCACGTAAATGTTTCTGAGCTAATTAGCTTTCCAATTAGCTGCTAACCAATTCCATATAAGCCAAATTTTATGGATTATTTCACTTATGCTAGAAAGCATTATCTTTGTTTTACAGAGGTTCACCTATTTGTTGATTTTTTTTTTCTTTTTTTTTTGTGGACTCTTATTTTATTTAAGTAATTCAAAAGTTAATTGAGAACTCAAGAGCTCCCTGGAGTGGTGCTTGTGTTGCCTGGTTAGTTGAATGCCAGTGCAAGCTGCTGCAGTCCTAGAGTTTGTGTACAGGTGCTTTGAACCTCTTTGGCAGGGATAGGTTTGAAAAATGGAATGGAGAGTGAGCTGTTGATCTCTGTGCTTCAGCCTGCCCTTGGCTGCCTGTCCTGTTGCTGCCTGTGCAGGGTGTCCTGTGATGTGGTGAAGGCAGGGCTATGATTTCACAGCAGGGTCAGCCAGGAGATCATAATTGGCCCTGGGAGCAGTTGCTTGCCATAGCAAGTAATGATACAGGTGAATTAAGTTATGGATCAAATGCTGAATATTTCCCAGAGTCTAAGTAGCTCTTTGAGGTTTATTTTGGTAAGCACAATCACACAGTAAACACTTAATGCTCTCCAAGTGCAGAAGTCACAGAGCTGCTGAGATTTACTAAGATTAGCAGTGAGAGATTAGAGCAGTAGATGCCAAATGGGCTTTGCCCATCTCTTCAGAAGTGCTCTATGGCACCTGCAGGGCTGCATGGTGTTTGGCAGATGAGAGTAAATGGCTTAACTAGCACATTTTGTCGGGTGTATTTAGATGTACCAGACTACTCAAATAGAATGGGAAATACTGTTGTGTCCTTCCAGGCAACTTTAACTTGATGTGTGGCAGGCAGTAGGTCAGGTTTGTTTGCCTGTACTCAGAGTCAAGATTGGAAAAAACCAAGCCCTAAATGGTAGCAGCAACATTCTACTCTGTTAAATTCTGCCTTTGCTCTTCTAGGTTGATATTAGTGATGTGATAGAAATAAACCCTGAATTATTAGAAGAGCCTGCTGCTGATGTGAAAGAGAATGTTCCTTTGCAAGAGAATGTAGCTGTACAGGTAAGTGCTTTAAATCCTAAGGTACTAAAGCATTAATAATGTAGGTCTTGTTATATAATAACCTCAGTCTAGAAGTTTGAGGTATCTAACTTGCCTTTTCTGTCTCATAGTTAGGCTTTGGTCAGAAATTCTTGTTGTATCCACATTGTCCTGAAAAGCTGTGCAGGGTGTTTGTTGCTTATTCCAATTACTTACAGCAGTCATTGCTTTTCAGAAACAGAAGCGTAGAACAACCCTTTCAAAAATTCCTGCTCCACGGGAAGGTGAGAAAATGTTTTTGTGTTTTTTCCTCGGTTCTCTCCCTGTGGAACAGTGCTGGTTTCTCACTGTAGCCGTAATATTCTCCTTTAGTGCATCATAAGGCTGCTCATTCAGGCAGGGCTAACAAAGAGGGTACCATTTCATACCAATGTTTTGGACTCCTGAGGGCAGAGCGTTTGCTACCAGGATGTTGTCCTGTTCCTGTGAGCTGGGCTTTGTTGATATGTTGCCCTTTCCTGCAGTTATTCTGTGCTTTACATGTCACTAGGCAGTTACTGTGGTGGTGAGCTTAAAACTTCCATATGAAGTTTTGCAAATGCCACAAACAAGAGAATTCAAGTTGCAGTTATTAAATGTGTCAAAATGAGAGTGGAAAGGACAAGAAAGAAACAGCAGTGACAAATGCATGTCTCCTCTTCATGCAGTCCCCCTAGACAGTAACTAGAGCTTTATCCTTGGAGACATTTCAGACCAGACAGCCAAAGTGCCAGCTGGTGTGCCACAGCTCAGTGATTGCATGTCAGTACAATGTGTTGAGCAAAGCCAGAAGAGAAGATAGAGATGTCAGTGTGGGATTGCTAAGGAATTGTTTTCCCTGAGGTGTCAGGAGTTAGAAAACTCCTGTTTTCTACCTTTTAGCTCTTTAGTTGGCTCTTTTGGTTTTTTGAATTGCAAGTGGCAGCATTGCAGGTCTATTTGTAATATGCTACATGATGCTGAGGTTGAATGGTTGCTAATTTAATGGCTCTCATAAAGAACATAGTTAGCCAGAACCTGTACTTTTCCATGCAATTCAGTTGTAAGCAAAACATTTGGGCTTGTCTGGCTTCTTTTGTTGCATGTGATGCAAGATAGGGAGCTGGTCCCAGAAGATGACAGTACAAATCCCCTGACATCAGAGGCAACAGTAGTCCAAGAAGCTTAATGTGTAAAATGTTGCTCTGCACTAGAGAATTCTGATCTTCCTCAAATCCAGAGAACTCCACAGATTTCGTGAACTGACATGCAAAATGATGTGGTAAAGTCATGGCTGTCTCTAGACAGGTCAGTTAGTGGAGCTGGATAGCCAGCTGGAAAAATGAAGGTGTGTTAAACTGGGCACTGCCTGATGGAAAGATGTCCTTGCAGAGGTCACAGCTTTTCTGGAGTATAGAATTTAACTCTGAATCTCAAGTATCTATTGCCTGTCCCACGGGCACAGTCTTGTCCCTGAAGATCTGCTTAGAGCACAAGAGAAGCACTGTTCTCAGTATTCCTCAAATAATTTGTTGCTACAACTAGCTAAAGCCCATGAGTGTCAGAGTATCTGTCCTGCTGCAAACCCTGCACTGCACTCATTACAAAGCTAACATTGGCTTCAGACTTGTTCTTAGAATAAACAAATTAAAGAAGATTAGGAGGTGTCTGTCTCCATCTCCTTCAGCAAAGTGAGGATGCAGAAGCAGTGCTTTCAGAATTAACTAAGAAATAGATATTGTCTCAGTCCCACAAATCAATAGGAACTTTGGAGGATGCTGAATCACCTCACATACAAGAATCACTTGAATCAAACCCATTTAGGTGCAGCAAATCTTCCAGCTAATCTGCCTGTCCAGGAGCACTAGCATTTACAGAAACAGTGCTGCTGAGTTTGTAAAGAGATCAGGTCTGGGCATGTGTGACAAGAGCAAATGAAATAAAATGCCATCTCTGAGTATAATAAAACTGATGCTTTTTGTTTCCAAAATTGCAGCAGTTCCACTTCATGTCTCTGTACATGAGCAGAAGATTGCAGGTAAAGAGTTAAGAGACAGGAGCACTGAAATCATTGGGTATGGTTCTAAGGAATTTGATTCAGAATTGAAAGAAACCCTTGGTCTCAAATAGATCTGGTGTCCTTTGAAGTCATAGTGATTACTTCTGCATAAATTCTTGTAATTGCTTGTCACGAGAGGTTAAGGTAGTTCTAGCTTGCATATCACACTTTTTTCATATCAGATCTGCTGCTTTTTACAAATCTATTGAGGTAAATGCTCCAATCCTTCCCTTAGGAAGCTTTGTGATGGGCTTGGTATCAGTGAAAGAAAAACCTTGGCATGTGGCAATGGGGAGTGCCTGCAAAAAGACCTTTTTCAAAGATCTGCTGTTGTGATTATGCAGAGCCTTTTAGCTGAATTTAGTGTTACAGAGCTCCCAGTTCACTATGCACCACACACTGTGGATCAGTGCCCTGACAGTGGGTGGGCACGGTGCTGCCTGTGGCCAGTTGCCAGACCACAGTATCCCTGTCACCATCAGAGTTAATTCATACCTCCCTGCAAGTTTGAAGATTCAGAGGGTTTCCCAGTTCTGACTAGTAACTTCCTCCTTCCTAGGCATTAAGGTTCTGGAACTGCCATATCCTTGTGTGAATCCTCAGTGGTATCTGAAAGAAATTCACTGGAACTGCAAATCTGGAATGAACTGTTTGCTGTTCTGAAGTGATGTATTTAATCACTTTTCACAACCTGCATTGCTTTGTCCTGCACTTTGCTAATGGGGAAGGTCCTTTTAACCACACCTTGTTCCCCACTGTTCTGCACTCTGTGAGCGCTCGATTAATTGCAAGTGTCTGAGTGTCCCTGGATTTCTGTTTCCAAAGCTGTGCGTGGCCGCTCCAGGATGTCTGCTCTCCCAGAATCACAGTGCGGCCACGAGGAAGATGAGATGGGGGTAGATCCAAGCACTTCTGTGCAATCCAAAAAATTATCCTCAGTTCCTGGTGAGTGGAGAAAGAACCTAGTGAGTTCTTGCTGTGAATCAAGGTGCTTTATGTCCATTTAATTAGGCAAACTGCAAATCCCAAGGGGATAAGCAACTGGTACTCCTTCATACATAAAATGAGAGACTTACTAATCTGCTACTGTGCAGATAGCCAGGGCTCCTACCTGAAGAAGTTTCCAAAGGTCTTTTACTAGCCAGAGAGCTGCAGTTGTGCACATTGAGTGGATGTGGTATCTGCTCAATTGCATAAAGTGGTATTCACAGGACTAGAGTGGGAAGAGAAGTGCTTTAATACTGCTGACAATGTGCTTTGCAACTCTACTGGTAGTAGTTTTACCTACACTGGTTGAGTCTACTTGAATTGTAAAATTGTAGTTATTTATTTTACCAGGCCTACCCTATGAATAGCTGAGGACATGCCTTGCATCTTAAGCTCTGCAGGCACATTGAAATAAGAGGCTTGATACTAAATTCTTGTCTAGTTGGTGTGGCCTTGGTTTGCAGCTTTGAATAAAAGTCAGTGATTGACAAGGGATTTAAATGTTTACTTGCACACTTACCACAGGTTTTAGGTGGTTCTCTCTCCTGATCCAAAGTCAGAGTTGAGGAATGCCTGTGGTCTATGAGGCTTTACAGATTACAAAATTATTCTTGATCTTTGGGATCTAATTATTGGTTTTGGTCTGGCTTCTTTCTGCAGCTGGCCAAACCAGGGCTAGCAGGCTGGGCTGTGCTCCAGAAGCCTCACTGCCAAATGTAAATGGAAACGCAGAGAGTGGTCTGCCTGCTGCTATAACAAGCTCTTCAGAGCACCCAGGTACCAGAGAGCAATGGATAAGGACTGATTTGTCAGTCAGCAATGAATCACTGTGATTGCTGCTTTGTGTACTGAGACTAAAGAGTACTTTTTATTACAAATATATAATTTACTTACAGTGGTATTGCCTCAGAAATGCTGCCTTTGCTTTAGAGCGGTAGTGTGACTTCCAAGGCGATTTCTGTGGTAGGTAGATTTGGTTTGGGAAGGAAGTGCTGCAAAATTAATGACCATCCTTCTGAAGATGACTGCTTCCTGTACAAGTTAGTCTGTCAGCAACTTGGAAAAGCTGAAATATTTATCTTATGCTGAAAACCTAGTATGAAGATTTAATCCAAGGAACTGTTTTCATTTTATCTAGTTCGGAGAAGATCTAATATTGTGAAAGAGATGGAGAAAATGAAAAGCAAGAGAGAAGAAAAGAGAGCTCAAATGAGTGAAATCAGGCTAAAACGAGCACAGGTGGAGTACTCTACAATACAGCTGTAAGCGGAAATGCTACAGGATCATGTACCACTATAGTTGAAACTAAGACATATTTTGGATGGGCTTTTGTCTTACAAAGCTGTACATAAGGATGGACTGATTCTAGTAGCAGAAAGTTCTGAATGTTGTCAATTGTTTCTGATTACATATGGCTGATTGTTTAGTGGGCTGCTTTTGCTGTAACAGATCAATTACCTTCACATCCATGGTTTTTCCATGCAGGAGTCTGACAGCTGTCCAAACTGGGAGTTTGCACGTATGATCAAGGAATTCAGAGCAACTTTAGACTTCCATCCAATATCTATAAATGATCCCGTAAGTAAATATGGAGACTAAGTGCAGCCTACTGAAATTTTTGGCATTGAGCTGTTGGTACATCACTGCACCTTGGAAATCATCAGCATATTGTGATCCTGAGGCACCTGGTGGTATATATGTGAGGTTACTTACCTTCCCTATTTTGGGCTAAGCTGCCTTGCATTACTTTGCATATGTCACTAGTGAAGAGCTTGCACTTCAAGTGTCATTACATGATTTGTGTGGTAACATCAACGTTTTTCAGTCTTAAGTGGCAGAGCCATTGTTGTTGTAGCTGTTGCACACATTGATGTGTAGCTGTGCTGCACAAATAGCTAAACTTACTGCACCAATGAAGAACTCCAGAACAAGAAGTACCTCTGGGGCAAATTAGGGTAATTTGTCTCAAATTGACTGTAGTTGCAGTATTGATGTCACAGATTTTGCTGGAAAACTGGACAAGGACTAAACCTTTTACTCTTTCTGCTACAGAATATTTGGGGTGCTTTCTATAGCATTGCAGTATTTCTACATGATATGTTGGAGAATATTATGTAAAGGTCTATTTGTAGTGTTTCTTTTGCACTGAATGTACTTTGAGACTGACATCCTGCATGAGTGGGTCAGATCAGTAGCAGAGGCAACTCTGATCAGCATATAGAACAGGAGATGTGAGAGAGCATTGGATCTCTGTAAATGGAGTAAGTATGACTGTAATTGGAAATTTTTCTTTCCTTGTAGATAGAAGAACATAGGATTTGTGTCTGTGTGAGGAAACGCCCTCTCAACAAACAGGGTGAGTGCACTGACCCAGCGACTGTCTTGGAGCACTTTGACAATGTTCATTCTTGTTAAACTGAGGGTCTTTTCTGTCAACAGAACTTCTGAAAAAGGAATGTGATGTGGTTACTGTTCCGAGCAAATGTGTCCTGATGGTGCATGAGCCAAAGCAGAAAGTGGACCTAACAAAATACCTTGACACCCAGTCATTTAGATTTGACTTTTCATTTGATGAAGCCTCTTCTAATGAAATGGTGTACAGGTAATGCTTGCTTCTCACTGGGACTGGCTTTCAGATAAAAGCACAGAGGAAACTGCTTCCTGAAATAAGTATTAAAATCCTTTTTGGAGGAAGCCAAAGAACTGAAAAGTCTAAAGCTTATTTTTGGCATGGCCTTGCTGATTTCCTAAGGATTTGATTTCATTTTATTTAATTTTTTAAAAACTGAGGAAGACAAAGCAGGATGTGAAATGTTTGCCTTAACTGTTTTTTACTTTCTGAATATCCAGATTCACTGCTAGACCTCTTGTAGAGACCATCTTTGAGGGTGGCAAGGCGACATGCTTTGCGTATGGCCAGACAGGCAGTGGCAAGACACATGTAAGTTTTCTCCAAGGTCTCAAATTTTCTGGCTTTAGATAAAGTATTTTAAAACTCATTGATGAGTAGGATTATATAAGGAGTTTGGATCTTTATCTTATTAGTCTTACAGCTAGTAGTTTGTTAGATGTTAACTCTTTTTCTGTAGTTTTATGTATTAGTGGGTTTCCTTTGAGACTGTGAGGAAAATCATGCTGAAGTCCCCTCATAAATGGCTTTTTCAAGACTTAGGTTGTCCTGACATGTCAGTCTTAGTCATGGCTATTCTTTGCCTCAAACGGCTGTTGCTGCCTGACTTTGGTCTGTAATGTGGCACTATTAACCTACATCTGAGGCTGTTGTCTATTCTGCGTTCTGAGCAAAAGGTATTTCAAAGACTTCAGCAGTTATGTAAGAATAAACCTCTAAATGTACATGAACATTTCAGTGATCTGGTATTGTTGGTAAAGTGAGCAGATTAGTGTGTTGACTCTCTCACCACTCCTAGTCTATCAGTTGCAGATTCAAGAGATGTGAAAACTGTTTTATCTCAAAGGTGATCTGCTCTAAATTTTCAAAAACTGTTGTCTTTAACTTTTTTCTTTTGGGAACTATGGGGAAGGATCCTCACAGCATAATAGTGGTCAAATCTACTGTCCTCTTCTGAAAGAAGCCTTTAACTCAAACCACAGTGATCTGGACTGGACTAGACTATACCAGCTTGCTAGTTTGAGTATCAGACAGCAGTTGCTGTTATTCCAGTGTTAGAGCAAGTTTTAGGCTAGGATTTACTACTGGTAGTGCTGTGTAGTGAGCTGTAGATGTCTTCTAGGAGTCCAGAAGGAAATTTGGAAGTTTATAGAAGTTTGAACACAGGCTGCCTTCATTGTACTGGAAAGGCAAACAAACCTGCTCACCTGAGTGGCGTTACAGGAATACAACTGTGAGGCACTAAAGTCAGAAGTGATGAAGTTAACTTTCCAACAGCTGCACATTGAGAGTGGAGCACTAAACACTGGAGTGCACACTAAACTTTGGTAGACTGAGAATGTGATGGGATTGAGCAGTGTTTTAAATAACTGACTGTTTCATCTCAAAGTGGTACGGCAAGTCACCAGGCTACCACTAACTGAAAACTCTGAGATTAAAGGTACCTTGGTCAAAGGAGTTAAAAGTACTGTCTGCTTTAGGTTTGCATTTTGATGTCATGTGTTAAATTTTGCAAGTAGCAGTGAAAACGTTACTCAATCTACATCCCTAACAAAGGAGGCTTTGTCTCTTCTGACCAGAGGCTGGTTTGGTTGCACTGTCAAGGCTATGCATTTCCTTTGGAGGAACAAGTGCTTTGACTCTGCACCCCAGAGCCTTACAGGCATTCAGGTGTTGCTTTGCATAGTTCAGATCTCCTTTCTGTTATGATAGGAAAGTGGCAAACTAATTTTATCATGTGTTGCACTGTATTCTAATCATCTCACTGACATTGGAGCATATCTATAGTAACTTCCTAGGCTGTTCTTGGGACTAAGATCAGGTAGCCTGACTTGTTGGGATATTTCTCTTCACAGACTATGGGTGGAGACTTCTCTGGGAAAGCACAGAATGCTTCGAAGGGCATATATGCTTTTGCCTGTAAGTTGATTCTTTTACAGATACAAAAATCAAATTAGTGCTTGTTTTTCTTAACTAGATAAGATCTGGTTTTGTATAGTTATTTAAAATGCACCCACTAGAATATACATAAAGTATTTGAGTTTTCAGTAATAAGTGCTGGTGTTTGCAGGAGGTATGATTATTCTTCTATTGGTTTCACAAAGTATTTTCTCTCCAGCCTGTAAGTTTCTAGATCCACACTTAACTCACCAGAAGATACTCCTTTTTGAGGCAAGGAGATGACCCGTTTTCCAGTTTGGCATTTGCTGGACTGAACCATCTGATTTTGATTCCCCTGTTTTACTTTTGTCTCAGATGAAGGATGGTGTTTGGAAATACCTGACTTGAAAGCAACACAACTCTACCCATTTCTGGTATAGAACTTGTTATACAAAAGCATATGGATGTATGTGTTTGGTTTCTTCCTGTAAGCATTATATGCAAAAAACCTAGCACATACAAAATGATTTCAGAAAGCAGATGCTTAAAGTCTCTCCTTGATATAATGCCTAGGAAGTACTATGAACCTTGACCTCATTTAACTTGCCTTTAGAAAGGCACATTGTGAAGCTGGTTTGTGCAGCAAGGCAGCTGAAACAGGAGCAACTGTTGGCTGCTCTCTGAAAAAGTTATGGCTGGCCCTGAAGGAGCTTTCCAGCTCAGTTTCAAAGTCTGAAGACTAATTGTGAAAAGCTGCCACTGGATCCAGCAACAGGGTCAATTAATTTGGTATATTGTATCCAAACAGCAGCAATACAGATGCTCAGAGAGGCATGTTTTCTAGGCTTTCTGCAAGAAGCACTTGAAACACAAATACATAACTTTCAGGCCTGTCCAAAACAATAGTGTTCCCCCAGAGCAGTAAGGATTGCTGTTTGTGGGTGACATTAGCAGCAGAAGCTTCTGTAATTCCCCTGTTTTTAGTCCCTGGATAAGGATTCTGCTGAATCTGTTCTCCAGATGGTAGCATAGCACTGATTGTTTCACTAGCATGTGTTTGGATGACTGTCATTCAGCTGCTAGACACTGCCTTATGGCTGTGCAAGATTTGAAAGTAGATCAAGTAGTAAGTAGAATGTGTTTTAAACCAGTTAACTAAATTTCTGCCTTTCCTTACTAGCACAAGATGTCTTCCTCCTCCTAAACCAGCCCAGGTACAGGAGTCAGAAACTGGAAGTCTATGTGACCTTCTTTGAAATATACAATGGAAAGGTAAGACTTTTATTTTTGCCTTGACCTGATTTTTTTTTTTTTTTTTGGTCTGAGTATTTCATAAGCAGTTGAGTGAAACTTACCTCTTTCTGTAGTTTTTGTGTTCTGTTGTTACTGGTGTGTTTGGAATTGAATGGAAGGCTATATTAAAGGTGCTGTTTCTATATAGCTTTTTGTGTAAAGACGGTGCAAAATACAAGACCTTGTACAGATTTGCCTCAATCTTATTGCCTGAATAATAGGTATTTGACCTCTTGAATAAGAAGGCCAAGCTTCGAGTCCTGGAGGATGGCAAGCAGCAGGTCCAGGTTGTTGGTCTCCAAGAAAGACAAGTTGGCTGTCCTGAAGATGTCATCAGAATGATTGAGATGGGCAGTGCCTGCAGGTTTGGTGCCTTAAGACAAATAAGGAGTCATGACCTGTTTTATCTCAATGTCTAGAAAAAATATGATGTCTGTAGCTGGTGCTTTGAGACTTAAACAGAAAGTTCTTGTTCTCAGTAATAGGCAGGCACTGAGCAGCACCTCTGCATGAGTACCAGAAGGTGGTTACACAAAGGGCTGGCAGGATGGGATTGGCCTGCCTGCCATAGAGAAAGTCAGAACTCATCATTCATATGTCATCATGTAACTCCAGTGAGAGAAACTATTGACATGAGGAGATGCTGCCCTGGTGCACTAGCTAACCCGAGCAGTTTAGCTGCTTTCTAGATAATGTATTGGCTAGTTTGCAGGAACACAAGTGGCTCCCTGTGTGCTTGTAAGATCAAGGAACAGCAGCTGGCATCAACTACAGCTGCAAAAATGCTATGGTTTAACTGCAGACCAGATGAGCTATTTCAATGGCAACAAAAATGCTGCATGTTGTTCAGGGATCTTTTCTAAAGAATCCTTGAGAGCAGGTGTCAACTGTAGGATTACTGCATCACCCTAGCAGGAAAGACTGTGGTTGGGGCAGCTCTGACATTGTACTGGTGTCTTGAACTGGGACCTAAAATCTGTATTACCAAGTCTTATCTGTTTCAATTAAGCTGCAACTGCTGTGGAAACATTACTAGGCAAATGAATCTCTTGGCTTCTGTACCGTACTGAGTGAGTGTACAGATAGGCACGTCCTGAAAGCTCATTCAGCACTCTGCTGTGCATCCTTTTTTGGCTGACAATTCAGTCATGAGCTGTTTTAATGTTTCATGCTACTGCCTTTAAGACAACCTCTGTCCCTTTCCCTCAGCAGTAGGGATGCAGGTGGGACAGTGAACCTGCCAGCATTCTCAGGCAATAAATGACAGTGGAGGTCACAGGGAGGTTTATGCTAACTTAAAAGATGCTGGTCTGTGCCCTGCAGTGATGGGGCTGGTGCAGCTGCGCAGCAGAGACAAAGTGCCAAGACGGCTTGGCTGGAGAAAGGGATTTACCACGACTGTAATGTGCTAGCACAGTTAATGCTGTTTAGTGGGGAGCTTGGCTGGAGCGTACTGTGTAATGGCAGATGCACTAGGAAAATGACATGTGGCATGCTGAAGGTATGACTTAAGCTCCAAGTGCATGTGAGACATTAGCATCGGAAAGGCATTCCAGTGTAGGCTGGCTGAGTTGAACCAGGCAGCTTAAATAGTCTTAAATATCTACACCTGGGGTGAAGGTTCATGTTTTTCACAGCAGTCCTGTGCTCTTGTATCAGAAGTAATTCCATAATTCATGTAAACTTGGAGTATTAATGTGTGGGATAAAACCTGGGAGGTTAAACAACTTAATTGAATGGCTGCAGGTCTTTGTCTAGTGCTGTCAGGACCTTCTGTGGCACAGTTCTAACACTTGTTTGCATCTGTGCTGTAGGACGTCTGGGCAGACATTTGCAAATGCCAGCTCTTCGCGGTCACACGCCTGCTTCCAGATCATCCTGCGCCGAGGAGGACAGACGATTGGCACGTTTTCCTTGGTGGATTTGGCAGGAAATGAGAGGGGTGCAGATACATCTAATGCTGATCAGCAGACACGAATGGAAGGTGCAGAAATCAATAAAAGCTTACTGGCTTTGAAGGTGAGCTATAGCTTAGGGAGCAAAGAGTGCTAATCAATGCATGGATTCTGTTCAACTCTGGGATAATTGTTACTTTCCAGTACAGGGGAGAACAGCCAGAAAAATACTAGTTTAGCATGTGAGCAACCCTAAAAACGGGGTATAGTTCCATGTAGGATGCTTCCAGGGAAGCAGTGCAGTCTTGGCAGGCCAGACACTGGTACAGCTATTTCAAGCTCCATTCAAGTTGGGTTTTTTTAACATTAGGATGGGCATACCTGCTGTCCTGTGACAATCAAACACCTGGAGGTATTTGACCTTTAAAGGCTATGAAGAACATACAGAGCAATAGATATGACCACTCTTCAGCCTATTGCGTTTACCAGCAATCGTGGTTGATAGCTTGCGGAGCTGTTTGAGGGGAGATGTTGATACTGCATTCACAAAACTTGTCTTTTCTTAGGAGTGCATCCGAGCTCTAGGGCAGAACAAGTCTCATACCCCTTTTCGGGAGAGCAAACTGACCCAGGTGCTAAGAGACTCTTTCATAGGAACAAACTCAAGGACCTGCATGGTGAGTGTGCACATGTCAAACACTGCTTGGGAGAGTGTTCCCAAAGGGCTTTGTTTCTTGTGGAGAGTGAAGCACAGTGGGTGTACATAAAGCCAGTGGGAAGTTGGATACAGAGCTACTGGCATGTCCCACAGAAGCTATAAAGAAAAATAGACTTGAGACTGTCTCAACTCCAGCCCTGTGTCATAAAATGTCCCAGCAATTTGGGGAGATCTGTAGGACATGAGCAAAAATCAGATTTAGGAGTCACTGAGGCTTCTGTTCTGTTTGCAGATAGCAATGATTTCTCCAGGCATGAGTTCGTGTGAGTACACCTTAAACACACTGAGATATGCTGACAGGTAATGGCCTTTCTGACCTGGGGATTCTAATCTTGTTACAAAAGGTGTTTTGGCTGCTTTTACTCTGACCTTTGGAATCTCAAGTTCTTTTGTATTGTTCAGAATGGCAACCTGGAAGATTGGTTGTTAGGAGCAAATTATCTTAGAGCTGTCTTATGAAGCTAGCCTGTGTGTTCTGTGAGAGATACAATAGAGATGATGTAAACTCATGTCTCTCCTTTCCTCAGAAGTTTCCTCTCCTGCTAGACTTCAGAGCACCCTGATTTTTGTGGGGGGTTTACCCTGCCCTGAATGTTTACCTCCATGCCCTTTACTTTTTGTAGTTCTTTGGGTCCCATCTGTAAGAGTGTGCTAAGAATGTGTCACAAATAAGTGTTTTAGGTCACTCAAAAAATCACTGGCAAAGGTATTGGCAAAAGCAGGTTTAAAATTAGTTTGTTGGCAAGGTTCACTCTACTTACTAGATGGTTAAAGCACACAGAAAAATCATTAAAATCAATCAGTCTAAAACTAAAATCAACCTAAAATGATCTATGTGGAGGCTGAGGAAGGGAAAAGGGTAAGGACTGAAAAGGATAAAGATAAAAAGGAATAAGGGAGACCCTTCTGTTGAGTCACAAGGTTTAGAGAGTAGTTGCCTTTGCCAAACTTAGCCCCAGACTTGATCAATGGTTTAGGCCTAAAGGTTTTAACAGCACTTAATTGCTAGTCTAATTTAAACAATTTGATAAAAGACTCCACAGAACTGACTATAAACACAACAGTAACTTACAGGCCTAACGTAATTATGAATCTAACATACTTAAGTGTCTAAGAGAACAACCTTCATAGTACATTTGCTATAGCATATTCACACGTGCACACAGCCCTAAGGGACTAGATACAAGGTATATCTACCACCTCCTGTGAAGGGGCTTTGGTCCTACTGAAGTGCTGTGAGTGTGACTGCCAGAGTGGCTCCTGGATGGTTGGACAGGAGAGTTTCCTTAACACCCACATCTCTTGGCTTTCCTTCCCACAGTCTTCAGGGAGTTCTGATCACATGAGTTTGTTTTGGGGGTAGTACTATGCAACTGTTTAAGCACAGCCGAATGTTTCTTGCTGAGCACTGACTGATTGTGGTAGCTGCTTTGCGATGCTGTAGCTGGGAAACTGCTGGAAGAATTTCAGTAACAAATCTTCTTGTTGCAGGGTGAAAGAGCTCAGCTCTCATAATGGAGGCAGTGATATGCAGAATCAGATGGAGACTGAGGAAACAGAGACCTGTACAGGAGGCTCAGGTCTTCAACACAATGTATGTGTGTGCAGTGGGCTGAACAGAACTCAAATCTGGAAACAACTTGCTGTTCTTACCTGGGCTGTTTCTTGCAGTTCTTCAAGGATGAGGAGGAAGACTACTCTCCCCACATGCGCAGCTTTCGTGAAGCTATGACTCAAATTAGTGAACATGAGGAAAAGGTTGTAGAACAGCTTAGAGAACTGAGACAGGTATGTGGAAGCAGTAAGCCCATCCCAGGCTGCCTTCTGCATGTTGATAGCAGCTTGTTTTGCCTGATCCAAGTGCTGCTGGGGAGGCTCTAGGCTGTAATGCAAGATGATGCACAGTGGTATTACTTTTTTTCCATACTACCAACTTTTTCCTGTGGTTTCCTGCCCAACTGGTTAAACCGGGGCATTTTGGTGCTTTTGGCCTGGTGGTTCTCTTTGCCCTCCAACTTGCAACCTCTACTTGTTGCTAATGAGCATTGACTGTTCTTGGTCTGTAGAAGCTATTGACTGGAGTGTCAGATCTGAAGAAACAAACAATTTCCAGAAAGTCAGTTTCTCATCACTGTTATCCTTGTAAATACAGGAAATGACAACTGAACTTGACTTCCTCTTGGGAATCACAGAGAAACCAGACTATAATCTCAAGACTTTTGTGAGCAGAGCTAAGTACTTCGTAGAGGACAGCTCAAGAAATTTGCTCAGTGTCGGAGGTATGTTAGTGCCTGCTCTGACTAGCACTGTCACTAATGCTTTGTAAAAGACCTGAAAGAAAAATCAGCATACCTGTGGGGTGTTGAGCACCCAGTCCTTCTGCATAGCTCTCGGTTCTGCTGAGAGGGACAGAGGGACTGGGGACTTTCAGCTTCCAGGTCAGTCACCCTGTTACTCCTGTCTTTCTTCATAGAAACGCTGGATGCCCTGGGGGCTGCCATGGAACTGGAGGAACAAGCCAGCAAGCAGATGAGCCGGCGGAAGCCTTAGTCACTACAGCAAAACCTGGTTCACAAGCAGTATTGCATGTGTTTGTCTTGTTTTTGCATGTTTGTCAGTGGTTTGTGTCACTCCTGTAGTAGAGTGTCTGCAGGTCATATGTGCCCAAGGGCAGTGAACACTGACTGTGGCCTTTTTCTTCATGGTCTGTATCAGGGTACTCAGCAAAGTGCTAAAATGCACCCACTGCAAGGTTTGGGGAGGGCCCTGAGGGTCTGCAGTCTCTTCCTGTGAGATATCTGGCATTTGGCCCTTTGCCTAGTGATGGCCTCCCATACATGTGCATCTAGCACTATTAGAGTACCTAACCTTTCCAGATGTTCTTGAAACATTGAAAAACTGTTGCAAGTTTTACTTTTCTAGAAAGAGAAAATGTACTATGTGATTGTAAAAACCAGTATTTTAAAAAGTTCAATAAATAAATGTTCCTGGATTTAATTATCTTCTGTCCTATAAAATATATTTCTTGCTGGTTTATACTTTTAACAATTACACAAAAATCATTAAAAGACTTGTCTCAATTTTGAGATCCCGCTGGGTAGAACTTGCTTAACACAGGGGAAGCTGGTTTAGAGGGTACTTATCTTCGTGTGTAGTGAGTGGCCTCAGCTCTTGTGACATATGGTAAGTGAGAATCCCTTGTACAATTGGCTTGCTCTTAGGCTTTGAAGTTAGCCACAGTATCTTATTTTACATTTTTAACAGGTTTCCCATGGCTAACATGCCACCTAAACTACAGATGTTCAGCAGCCCTGCAAAATCTGTACTGGCTCAGGTACAGCAAAGTAGTGCCATGGCCCTTCTGTGCAACCTGGATGCAGGTGGCCCTACACAACCTGCCCTCTGGGAAAGAGCAGGGTTAGGGGAGGACAGTTGTGAGGCATGTGCTGCTGCCTGCTCTTTCCTATTTGTTCAGCTCACTCTTAAGTTTGTCTCTGAAAGGACAAAAGAGCCCTGTGGGCTCTTGGTTCAGCCACACAGGATGCAGCTAGGTAAACATCAGATCACAAAGGGATCCTTCTACCATTACTCCCCCCCTCCCTCTTCCTGAGTTGCCTTTACCCTCTGCCTTTGCATCCTTAAAGGGTGTAATTTAAGTGGCAGTGCATTCAGCTCTTGTACCCATTTTTTGCGGACTGCACCCTTGCCATGTCTCTGGGGATATCAACCACACTGGAGTCCAGTTCTTCAGCCTGGACTGGTTCCATTTTTTGGATTCACCCACCAGCCATGTTTCAGGCCTTGTCCTGGAAAAGGCAGGATAAGAGCTAGGACCTGTAATGGGATGTGGGCAAACAGTAGTGACAAGTAGCTAGTGAAGGGATACTTCAACCCAGACAGCATCCTCCTGTTTGGCTTTTGCATGGATTAGCAATCATGTAACAGGCTTGCCGAGAAACAATTGTTTAATGATTGGTAGGAGCTTTCTCGTGTACATTGAAGTCTGGCAAGTTTCTTGTGTGACCATAAATAGCCCAGCACTCAAACACCACCATTGTCACTTCAGAGACCATGTTGCTGGAAGACCTCCAGTATGTCTCTCTACCCACCAAAGGTTTTCTGTCATCTGCTTTTGAGAAAAAGTGTTCTGACAGCACTATCTTGTGGACACTGCAGGAAATTCATACTGAATGAACCAATTTAAATAGCTGCATTTCCTTAAGGATTCTGCAGTCAATCATAGGTACTAGATTCTTCTAGGGAGTGGCTGATGTTAAAAAAGGATGTTTCACTGCCCCCTGTGGCTCCCAGCTACATGCAGAATACAGTGGCCTTGAGCAATGCAGCACCATTCAGTCCTGTGCTGTGGCAGGACAGATGTTTCTTTCAGGCCCAGACATAAAGGGTGACAACATACAGCGCCAGAGCAGATTTCATGTCTCCCTATAAATAAAACTTCAAGCCAGCTCCAAGTGGAGCTGGTAGCGCAGGCGGGTCAAGAGCGCCCTACCCATCTCCATCTTCCCACGGCCCACCTACTCACAGAATGCAGCACCCGCAAACCATTCCCGCACTCCCCATTTCAGTCACCACCGAGCACTCCGGGATAAAACAGCAGCTAAACCATTCTATTTTTCAACACAACACAGGTAGCTCCGCCGAAACAGAGCCTCAAAAAATTTTTCGACACTCGTACTTGTTCCTCTCCACGGAAATCTTTAGTAAAAGGCGAAAGATTTATACGATCTGAAGAGAAACCAGAGTATACTTGCTTAGTTAGCCGCACACGTACCCACTCCCGGGTACTGCCCCACCGGATAGGGTGACCCTCGCTCCGCTCCTTCCCCGGGC